ACCCTCTCACAGTTTTTTCAATTTCTGACATGGACCAGCTAAGGAAAATCCGTCGTCACCACTGGAAAGAGCGCGTCAAAATTAGTAAAATTGCCAAGTTTGAAAGTGATTTGTTAAAAACTAAGGAAGATACAGCTCTAAAAAGTCGCGAAAATTTACAGACGTTTGTACGGTGGGGGCGCAGACTTGCCCCCACCGTACAAAAGTCTGTAAATTTCTCCCTGGGCGGGGGGGGGGGGGGGTCTTGGGGTTGTTTTTTGGTGGGTTTGGTTCCCTGCCCCCCCAGGGCCCCTCCCCCTTTTTATTTTTTTTTTGGCCCATTTTAAAACCCCCTCTTTGCACTTTTTGGCCAAAACGTAATTTTTCCCGCCCCCAATTTTGTCACTTTCTATTTTTTATTTTCTTTTNCTCTCACAGTTTTTTCAATTTCTGACATGGACCAGCTAAGGAAAATCCGTCGTCACCACTGGAAAGAGCGCGTCAAAATTAGTAAAATTGCCAAGTTTGAAAGTGATTTGTTAAAAACTAAGGAAGATACAGCTCTAAAAAGTCGCGAAAATTTACAGACGTTTGTACGGTGGGGGCGCAGACTTGCCCCCACCGTACAAAAGTCTGTAAATTTCTCCCTGGGCGGGGGGGGGGGGGGGTACTTGGGTTAGTCTTTGCTGGGTATGTGTCGCTGGCCTCTCAGAGCCCCTACCCCATTATAGTCTATTCTGTGGCCAATTATAGACCCCATCTTAGTCACTTTTGGGCAAATACGTAATTTTCGCGATCCCAACTTAGTCACGTTCTATTTATGTATCTACTTTATCAGTCCTTTAAATAGATCATCCTAAAATGAATTGACACATTCAGGTTTAATTGAAAGAAGGTCACTTTACTTTTCACCCACAGTACAAACATCCCGGTACGTTTGTTAACCGTACATATGAAGAACTTTCATACCCCAAAAATCCCAAAATGTGCGAGCCCCATTCAAGTAACTCTATTGAAAATGCAATCCCATTATAGTCAATCCAGTCGTGAAAGTGCGACCCCATCCGGTGGCACATCCCTATTAGCCTCTTTTAAGGAAGTACCCCCCCCCCGGAAAATTTTCACAACTTTGTGGAGTTATATCACCGCTCGCTTAAAACGTATCACTTTCAAATTTGGCAGTTTTACTAATTTTAAGGCGCTTTTTTCAGTAGTGTCGACCGATTTTCTGTAACTGGTCCTTATCAAAAGTTGAAAAAACCGTGGCATGGTCTATTTTGCGCGTTAGTGATAGATAGCAGTGTCTTCAGCATATAGAATATGGGACTTAACGCTCTAACAGAAGCTTTTGAGTGCAAGAGTAAAAAGACTCGGCACGATAGCAATTACTATGTGGCACGCTGATTTTCAAATAACTTAGCCTCACTAGAGGGTCTCAATGGGGTTAACCGTCCGCCGTCGAAAAAGGTTATTTTTACCGTCAACCGTCAAAAGTTTCAAGTTATTTCAAATCTCACTATTTCGCCTGATCTTAACGGACATCTGGCCCCTGAAGAATCTCTAAACTGGAAAGAACAGTTCCCATGTTCTCAAAAGGAATCTTTCTAGGCATCACAAGTTTTACTACAATTACAAATTGCTTATTTCTGAAAATATTTCGAAATTTTATACAGGTGAAAGGTAAAGACAGCCTCCAAAACACAAAAGTTAATATTATTGTGTAGAGAAGGTAATATTTACCTAAACTCTTGGACTAAATTTCCACCTGATAACCGTCAACCGTCAAAAGCTCTAAAATTTAGCCGTTAACCATCAAAATTGGAAAAGATGAAACTTCAACCGTCAAAGTCACTACCCCATCGAGACCGTTTCACTAGTGCAAGTAGTTGCGATAAGAAATTTATTGAAAATGTTGAAGAAGCCACAAAGCTATGATTTGAGTAAGGCAGATGATAAAGTTTTTTATTTTTATTTTAGAAGTTCAAGATTAAGATTGTATAAGAAAATAATAGTCTCTGAGGAAATTGTTCTTTTCCTTTAGACTCCAGCTTGTTAGGTCATGTGATTTCCAATTTGACTGTCCCGGATGTGATGTCTTGCTCGTTTGAGTGCCTGAAGATTGAGCAGTGTTTATCGTATAACTTCAAAGATGAACGTAACAGCTTGAGAAACATCTGTGAGCTTAATGATGCAACTATGGTGACCAGTCCAAATGCTTTCTATGGCAGGCCTGGTTACAAATACTATGATACACAAAAGGTTTGATGAAATGTTGAGTACTAGATAGTTGTGTTATGAGTAAAGAGATTGAGAACAACCATCCTTTTCCAAAAAGCGCAGACTTACTCTGACGTACACATTACGTGTTGAGACAAATCACGTGATCTAATTGCACAGTACAACCAATCATAACAAGCTGATTTAGTTGCATGATGGGAAAAAGAGAGACATTGGGGACGAAGCCACGTCCTCCCATCTCATCTTGCAGCCACCATATACCCAGACAAGCTACTTCTTTCGTGTTCCAGCCGCTTCCTGTTCTTTACAACAGAACAAAGCACAGTCAAAATTTCTTTATTTGCTACATTTCATTACAATTTTTTGGGAGGAGGGGGGTGGGGCGGTGGAACAACCTTTTTCTCGAGAATGAAAACATTGTAATTCCTTCTCAAGTATCACTTAAAAGAGCACCTTCCAAGTTTGTTAATACAAAAATGTTAAAATAATTTATGTTCACTTCCGATCAACAATTGTCGAACGCCTTATCAGAACACGCTCTCCTCGGATGAGACATCATTTGCTTCATTCCCATTATTTGTACAGCTTATTCTTAACAGACTCCAACCAGCCCGGCGGTGCTTAAGGTAATAAGATTGATGTTCCTCATGTGCATAGATAGCTCAATGACAAATTCGCCACCTTAAAAATGGGGGCGGGGGG